GAGAGGGAGAAGAGTCAATTTTTCATGACAGAGGACCAAATGCTGAAAGGATAGCAAAAGCTGATGTGGTGTGATGTTTAAAGTTTGGACTAGAATCTGGACAACCTGGGTTCAAATCCTCACTCTGCCATGAAATCTGCTGCATGACCTTGGGCCAGTCTCTCTCTCTCTCACACACACAAGATACATACAGGCTGCGATCACACTCACTAAATAATCCACTTTCAATCCACTTTCAAAGTGGATTTTACTTGTGTGAACTGGCAAAATCCAGTTAGAAAGTGGATTGAAAGTGGATTATTTAGTGTGTGTGACCGCCACAACAGTGTAGTCTACCTCTCACGGCTGTTGTGAGGATAAAAGGAGAAAGGGAGAACTATATACACTGCTGCCTTGAGCTCTTGGTTGGGGAAGAAGGAGGAGCAGAAAGTGGATTGAAAGTGGATTATTTAGTGTGTGTGACCGCAACAACAGTGTAGTCTACCTCTCACGGCTGTTGTGAGGATAAAAGGAGAAAGGGAGAACTATATACACTGCTGCCTTGAGCTCTTGGTTGGGGAAGAAGGAGGAGCAGGAAGAAGAAGCGGAGGAGGAGATTGGATTTATACCCCATCCTTCATTTGAAGTCTCAGAGCGGCTTACAAACTCCTTTCCCTTCCTCTACCCACAACAGACACCCTGTGAGGTAGGTGGGGCTGAGAGAGCTCCGACAGAAACTGTCCTTTCAAGGACAGCTCTGACAGAACTAGGGCTTGGTCAAGGTCATCTAGCCAGGTGCAAGTGGAGGAGTTGGGAATCAAACCCGGTTCTCCCAGACTAGAGTCCGCGCACTTAACCACTACACCACACTGACTCTAAAAATTTTCTCGGCACCCATGAATGCTGATGCGAAGGCCAAACTGGGCTGGGACGAGAACTTAAGGGGATGCCGCAAAGGCTTTACAGAACAGGCCCCATCCAGCTGAGAGACCCACCCAAGAGATTATTTTAAAAACCCTTCAATCGTGAGACTGCTGGTTTTTATATAGCTTGGTTTTTTATTCATAATTTCTTAACATCACTTCTCTGTGATTTTATTGTGCTGTTGTTCCTTCGGGAGCCGTGTTGAGTGAATCCCCTGGAGAGGCGGCACGTACACTCTCTTAATAAATACACAAAACAAATACCCCCTTTTTGGATTCCTCCGCTGTGGCTGAACATTATGGTAGTGATGGAAAGGGCTGCCACATCACAGCCAACGTAGTAAATTCATACAGTTTTCAAGGCCAGAGATGAACAGAGGTGGTCTGCCATTGCCTGCCTCTGCCTAGTGACCCTGGGCTTCCTGGGTGGGCTCCCATCCAGGTAATAACCCGGCCCAACCCTGCTTAGCTTCCAAGATCTGACAAGTCCGGGCTAGCCTGGGCCATCCAGGTCAGGTCATGAGCATCACAGTACAGCTCACTAAAGCCGTCTCACGGTGGAGCCTGGAGTTTTCGAGACGAAACCGAACTGAATGCCATGTCTCCAGACAGGCACCGCTCCTTCCTTGTGAACCAGGTACAGAGCAGAATTCGGTAACGTGGTAAACGTCCGGATAGCCTACAAATTTTCTCAAGCGGACAGCCGTGTTGGGTCTGCGGTAGAAGAGCAACATCAGAGTCCGGTAGCACCTTAAAGACCCACGAGACTTCTAGGGTGTAAGTCTTCGACAGTCAGAGTTCCCTTCCTCTGGTGAATCTTGCTGGTCTTCAAGTTGCTACTGGACTCAGATCTTGCTCTACTGACATTCCTGCGTCTAAATGGTGGGATTAAACACCCACTCTAAGTAGGGAACTGTTGCCCATGAACAGCAGCCTCCTTTGCTTCAGTCCTGTATAATGGCCAGCGATGAGACACGTAACATCAAGCACCCGTTGTGCATTTGTTTATTTCCCCCACCTCTCATGCTCAGGGATGGCAGCCTCCAGGTGGGACCTGGGGATCCTCCAGAATTACAGCTCATCTCCAGACTACAGAGATCAGCCCCCCCCCTGGAGAAAATGGATGCTGTGGAGGGTGGCCTCTACGGCACCGTACCCCACTGAGGTCCCTGTCCTCCCCAGGCTCCACCCCCAAATTTCCGGGGGTTCCCCAGCCTGGCAACCCTGCCCCCACCCCTCACTGGTGACTACAGGGGACCTGGCAACCCTATTTCATGCCAGATAGGACAAAGTGGAGGTAGGGGGTAGAAAAATGCTTGGTTTGGTTTGATGATGCAATGCAGCAGCAGATGGGCTATTTACTTGACTGGAAAAAAATCCTGGTGGGCCTCTCCCTGGAAGGGCCCCTGGCTGCCCCCATGGTGGAGCTGACAAGGAGCAGCACAGCAATGGATCTTTCCCCCCAGTTTGGTGTAGTGGTTAAGTGCGCGGACTCTAATCTGGGAGAACCGGGTTTGATTCCCCACTCCTCCACTTGCACCTGCTGATGTGACCTTGGGTCAGTCACAAGCTCTGGCACAGCTGTCCTTGAAAAAGAGCAGTTTGTGTCAGAGTTCTCTCAGCCCCACCCACCTCACAGGGTGTCTGTTGTGGGGAGGGGAAGGGAAAGGAGTTTGTAAGCTGCTCTGAGACTCCAAGTGAAGGGGGGGTATAAATCCAATCTCTTCTTCTTCTTCTGTGGAGTCTTGTGAGCAAAAATTCTACTGAGAGGACCTAGTGGTGGGAGGGGTGTAGCCCTTTCCAGGGCTATTTTGGCCTCCCAGTCCATCTCTGGTATCATGCCACATATTTCATGACTATGCACTGGTCCATCTCTAGCATCATGCCACATATTTCATGACTATGCACTACTGGGTGAGGGAGGAAGAGGGACTAGATATGGAACCGGTGGTTTCAGCTGCAGCCTGTGTCTTGGGTTATGGCTGGTTTTGCCCTAATTGAGAAATCAAATCCTGCAGCTGTTACAGGAAATTCACTGGCAGAGGATGTAGTGATGGCCACAGGCATAAACAGCTGTAAAAGGGGATTAGACAGATTCATGGAGGATAAGTCTATCAATGGCTAACCTCCACATTCAGAGGCACTAGTCATCTTAATCCCAGAGCCAGGAGGCATCAGCCTGTATGCCCTGTTGTTTGCCCTCCAGAAGAACTGGTTAGCCACTGTGTGAGACAGGATGTTGGACTAGATGGACCACTGGTCTGATCCAGCAGGACTCTTCTTACACTCTTATGAAATCCCCAGAACTTCTGGAATGCTAATTTTCCAAATCAGACGAATTTGTATTTCTGCAATGGGGAAGCATTTGCGTAACTACACTCTGGACATTATACACTGAGGCACTGCTTGCTGTGCAAAATGCAAACAGGGAACAGAGTGCACCTAATGAAGCAACCTTAATAGATAAGCGATGAAAACATTTTATCTACCCATCTGTACAGCAAATGAGTTACCTGCAAGGAATGCTGATTAACTAAAGATGACTCACAAGTTCAAAGTTGGAAAGCAATTCCTTGCTTCTGTTTCTACATATCACAACAGGGCAATGAAGTTCAGTTTGATCAGAAGTTACCGTTCCCAGTCTTACCTGTCATTGAGTTTGGTGATGGTATGCATGGATGTCTCTTTCCTCATCTGCTGTTCAAACTTCCGGATTTCTGTGTATGTGCTCTGGAAGATAAGCAAGCTTACTTGACTCACCTTCCTTCTGTTCAATACGTTAACCAGATTACAGTTAACAAGTCCAAACTAACTGCTGAAACAAAATTCCCCATGGGCGCCATGGCACCTAATGACACATTTCGTGTTGCTGGTCAAGTAGTTTTTAAATGGAGTGCAGACAGGTGGGGCTTTTGCCCATCACGGCTTCTGATGGACTGTGCTGATTTTTTAAAATGTTGCTTTGACAGCAGCTGCCACCACAGCTCAAGGATCTTCACTGTGTGACTGACGGTAACCTGTGGCAGCCATTTTGTGGTTGTGCCCACCACTCTACCTCAGAATTCCAAAGGTGCCCACAGGGCTCAAAAAGGATGGGGAACCCTGATGTGGCACACTCCACTTCTTTGTAGTTTTGGTTTTCATCAAAGACCAGAAACAAAACAAGCTCCAGCACTTACCTCAGCCTCCCTTTTCTTTCTCAGCAATTTCTGGGCTTCAATCGCCTGCATGGTGTGCTGAGGCAACGGTTTTGGAATCTGGATGATTGCTGCTTGAATCTTGGCCATTATTTCATGCTGCCTCCGTCTCTCCACAACTTTCTAAATAACCAGTGAAAAGCTAATGAGCAATTTAAAAAAAAAAACAGGCTGGGAAAGAAGTATTAATTACCCTCACAAAGCAGTATCGTTTTACAGCAAATTAACAAGAGAGTCAGTATCTGCCCACGCAAACTTCACAAGCACATAAACAAAATTGGTGGGGTTAAAGCAGGCATTTTTGCTGTTCTTTTAGACAGAGGCTTTAGAACAATAAGTAATGGAAGCTGAGAGAGATTCTAGAGACTTTAATCATTATAAACATAGACTGCCTCTCCAATGGGTTTGTCAGCCATGGATTTTGTTTTTGTTTCTTTTGCTGTCAAGGCGCAGCTGACTTATGACAACCCTGTAGAGTTTTCAAGGCAAGAGTTGTTGAGAAGTGGTTTGCCATTGCCTGCCTCTGCATCATGAGCCTGGTATTCCTTGGTGGTCGCCCATTCAAAGACTGACCAGGGCTGACCCTGTTTAGCTTTGGAGGTCTGACAAGATCAGGCTAGCCTGGGCTATCCAGGTCAGGGCAGCGATGGGGAGGGAAAAACAAACACTCCCCTCTTGCGAACGGCAAAAACTATTTGACATTTGTGAAGGGCACCCTGCAAAGAAGGCTTCCATACAAGCTAACAGAAGGCCAGGGTCTACATTAATGAGAAGTCCCATCTAGCTCCACAACCTTCCCCCCCCCCCCCAAGTTCTACCCATTACTGTATTAGGACACCGAGCCATAAGATATGGATGTGGGATGAAATTATACCAACCCCCGAAGATCTTCTGCTGCCTTCACCAATTTAATCATCAAGGCCTGTGCAAACAGTTTAACTGTCAGGTTTTTATTCTCAAAGGAGATGGGGGGGGGAGTGTGTATGGTTCTCCTCTCATTCATTTTTATCGTGACAATGTGAGGTAGCTTAGGCCAAGAGAGAGTGTGACTGACCCAAAGTCACCCAGCCAAGTTTCATGGCCCAGTGGGAATTCAAGCCTGGGTCCCCCAAGCCCTTGTTCGGAATACTTAACAACTCCACAACACTAGTTGTTAGTCACAGCATAACCACAAAATAAGAAGCTCTCCTTAAAGTAAATCTACCAAAAACCTAACAAGCTCAGTCACAGTGGAAAATTAGGAACCAGCTGACTTTGAGGTCAGCACAAGTTGAAGGAAAACAAAATCAACTGTTGTGATCACAGCTTAACACAACTGCACTAATTTCTTCATGGTCACAGGGAAGCTTAAGGTTAAAACCTACTTCCGGAATCATGAACCCACACTGGGGCCAAAGCTCTCCCCCCCAAAAAAAAGTAATCAGCAGAAGAATCAGATCACGTGCTCTGGAGCAGTGTTCCAAAATGACAGCTCCTTGGCTTACATTGCTTTCAAGGCTTTTAGCGGTGGATGTGTAGAAGTAAAAATTTGGATGGGTTTCCCATGAAAAAAATGGAGAGGAAAACATTTAATACAGCTATCTTGAAAGTAAGACTCAGGCACAGAAGTAGCCTTCTGCACTTGTAGCTGCAACATACATGCTAATGTACCTCTGGATGCGCACGGCTATGCTCACTGCAGAGTGTGCCCTGGCCGGGTATGCCCCTTGATCCTCAAGAGGATGTGCATAGCCATAGGAAGCAAACATTTGTTCAACAGCTTAAGTTGCCCACAACAAGACCGCACGAGTGCAATAAACAGGATCAAGAACCATTTTGGATGAATCCAAGAGGCAATTGCTTTGAGAGTTAACGTGGGGGTAGGAGCACCGGCTTAAAATACTGGAAGGATGCTAAAGGGATTTCTTTGGATAGGTGATGCGCTAAATTATGGAATATAGCGGTACTTGAGAAATCAACAAACAAGATTGGATTAATCCAGGGGAGGAAAAAAGGAAGACGATTTTAAGGTAATTTGGAATTGTTTTATTACCTATTTAATGGAATTTCCAGAATATAGGTCATTTAAAAATTGTCCCAAATTGGATGGAAACCTTTATTTGAAATTTTTACTATGACACTGAATAGACATATCAGAGGATATTGTTTTATAGAAATGGTATCAATGAAAATTATATAAAATTATATCCAACTAGGTGGAAGCACTCCCTTCCCCCCTCTATTTCTTCTCACTTTTTTGTTTTATTATTAGTGTTTTTGAGTTCCTTTTTGTTGGAACATTACCATAATAAGACGGCATTATTCTATACTGGATAGGAAGCTAAAGATGGGTTTGTTTGTTGGTTTTGTTGTTATTATTTGTTGAAGGTAGTTAGTGATTCTGAAGATGGCGTCGTGCCGACAGTGAGGGGTTTTTTTTAAAAAAGTACTGCATTAGGAACTGGGAGACATGGGGTCAAGCAAAGCTAACTGGGTGAATTTGGGCTGGTCACTATCTCTCTGCCTAAGCGACCTCACAGAATTGGGAAGATAAAATGCAAAAAAGAGAGGGCAGCTCCAGTTCACACTGGGGTGGGTGCCAATGAGACTTTAACACAGGCCCATAGCCAGGAATTATTAAGTTGGGGGGCACTTAAATTTCTCAGGGGGGGATGGCCAATTTAATTTAAGGTAATTAACTTGCTTGCCTGCTTTGCCGGACGACAAGAGGCAAGCAAAAGAGGCAAGCAAGATGAGCAGCATGGGACTATAGGCGGGGCTTGCTTTGCCGGACGAGGACTCCATAAAGATACAGAGAGCTGCGGGGGGGGGGGGGGGGCCACAAGGCTTGCCACCACCCCTGGCAGCAGCAGAAACAGCAAGGACTCCACAAAGATACAGAGAGCTGCCAGGGGAGAAAGGGAGGCAGGTGTGAAAAATAAGACAGGGGGCCTGGCCAGGGTAGTAAATTGGGGGGCCCTGGTGGAAAGTCGGGGGAGCTGAGCCCCGAAATGCCCCACTGTAGCCACGGGCCTGCTTTAACATGGGTAAGTTCTAACATTTCCCAAAACCGCACATGACTTGGAACTTCTCTGTATCCTCTGAAGTGTAACTGCAAGAAGAGAGAGTGTTCGGCAAACCTATTTGATGAAACGCCACAAAATCCACACCAGGTAATCTAAACAATAATCCCCCCCCCCCCAAATGTCAGTTTCCTGGTTCAAGCTGCAGCCTCAGCAGCCACATTTTGGCCCCCCTACACACACAAAAAAAGAAAGTCCTTAAAATAATCAAAGGCCCAAACGTACTGCATAGCTCCAACTTGGCACTAGGGCCATGAAGGGCTTTCCAAGTAAGCAAAATCAGCCTGAATACAGCTCAAAAGCAAACTTACAGCCAGTGCAACTGGTACAAAATTAGGACAATATGCTCTCATTTCCAATATGGTGCAGTGGTTAGAGTAATGGGCAAGGATCGGAGGGACTCAGGTTCAAATCCCCATTTGTGCCATAGAAGCTCACTGGGTGGCCTTCAGCAGTCACTCTCTGTCAGCCTAATTTACCTCACAGGCTTATCGCGAGGATTAAATGGCGAATACAAGAATGATGTAAGTTGCTTGGGGCTCCCAATGGGGAAAAAGACAGGGTAAAATGAAGTAAATAAATAAATATATCTGTCAGGAGGCAAGTCATGGCAAAGAGACAAAAACCAGCTTTTCACCTTTTCCATGTCTTTAATTTTTCTCTCCTCTTGCAACTTCTTGGCTTTCTCTTGCTCCACAAGTTGCATCTGACCTTTCTTAGCATCCATGTCCTTGGCTTTGTTCTGGAAGTTGTCCGAAATCTGCTGGAGAGACAGGTCTGCTTGACGTGGCACTAAGGTTTTCAGGCGCTGAAATGAGAAGATTTTCAAAAATATGTGATGAAAACTGTGGTTCACATCCAGCTGTCCATGGACTTTGCAGAGTGACGCCCTCCCACTTCCCACTTGTGCTGCATACCGCTGAACCCCATGAGGGACCCTCAGGAACAACTTTGGAAGAAAAGTGTGGTGGCCTGTGATGAGAGGGGGGAAACCAGCAGAAATTGCCACCTCCTCTTCCACAAACATAAATGCTCTTATGACAGAGGATGCATAACTACACATAACTTGATGCAATTACAAGAGTTGCCTTAATGCCAGAGGTTTAGGAAGCCAAGTTCACCTTGATCTAATACTGGATGGATCGCAGCTATAAAATGAAGTGGTTTCATTGATTTGGTGGAAAAGAAAGACAGATGTGGTCAACACCTTTGGTTCTGTAGATCAAGGACTACTATGATGTATGTCAAGGTTTCTCTCTCTCACCCCAGTCCAGGGATGGGAGAGAAACCAAGCATTCATTAACAATTAAACAAACCCCAGGAGAATGTCTGTACACTCTCCAGGCTGTACCAGTAGTCTGCCACCAGGATCTCTCTTTAAAAGGTTCCCCAGCAAAGCTCAGGAGCAGAGATCCCAAACTCCTTCTTGCTTTATGGGACTTAACCACTTTACCAGCTCTGTAAGCAGTGGTGGTAAGCAGTGGTAAGAGGGTGGTAAGCAGTGGGGTACCGCAGGGATCAGTACTTGGTCCACTGCTTTTTAACTTGTTCATTAATGATTTGGAGATGGGAGTAAGCAGTGAAGTGGCTAAATTTGCGGATGATACAAAGTTGTTCAGGGTGGTGAAAACCAGTGAGGATTGTGAGGCACTCCAAAGGGATCTGTCAAGGATGGGCGAGTGGGCGTCAACATGGCAAATGGGATTCAATGTGGCCAAGTGCAAGGTGATGCACATTGGAGCCAAAAATCCTAAATATAAATACACATTGATGGGGTCTGAACTGGCAGAGACTGATCAAGAGAGAGATCTTGGAGTTGTAGTGGATAACTCACTGAAAATGTCGAGACAGTGTGTGACTGCAATAAAGAAGGCCAATGCTATGCTGGGGATTATTAGGAAGGGTATTGAAAACAGATCAGCCAATATCATAATGCCCCTATATAAATCAATGGTGAGACCTCATTTGGAATACTGTGTGCAGTTCTGGTCACCACACCTTAAAAAGGATATTATAGCTTTGGAAAAAGTGCAGAAAAGGGCAACTCGAATGATAAAAGGGTTGGAACACTTTCCCTATGAGGAAAGGTTAAAGCGCTTAGGGCTCTTTAGCTTGGAGAAAAGACGACTGAGGGGTGACATGATCGAGGTTTATAAGATTATGCATGGGAAAGAGCAGGTAGAGAAAGAGGTACTTTTCTCCCTTTCTCACAATACAAGAACTCGTGGGCACTCCATGAAACTGCAGAGCGGTCGGGTTAGAACGGATAAAAGGAAGTACTTCTTCACCCAAAGAGTGATTAACACATGGAATTCACTGCCACAGGGTTTTTTTAATAAATTTTATTTATCAATTTTAAATATACAAAAGACAGCAATACAACAATGCAACGTTGCTTCACTTACAATGTAAAATAATTTTCCCCACCCCTATATATAACCTAAACTTTAAAAACAAAACATTCCTCTAGGATAGACTCAGGTATCTCATTATACACATCCTTTTGTAACCCAAATATCCTCTTTTTTACTTTCAGTATAATGCTACCTTAAGGTATTTTTCTGGGATATCATAAGCTTTATTTTGCTCCTCATTTATATAACTTAACACAGTATACCATTTTTCTACAAAGTCATTATGTTTGTTTGGTATGTACTCCCTTCTTATTTGCATTGCTATTTTATCTGCTATGAGAACATCCCAAACCTTCGCTATCCAAGATTCAATGGAAGGAATACTTTGTTTGTTCCATCGTTGAGCTAAACAGGCTTTTGCTGCATAGAGTAGTAACGTTAATATTTCCATTTTTTGTTTAGAAAATGAGAGATCAGGCCACATATTCAATAAAATAGATTGCGGAGTGTTTGGTATATTACAACCTGTAAGTTTAGCAATTTCTCCAATTATTTTTTCCCAATATACTTTGATATGTGGGCATCCCCACCAGCTGTGTAGGTAAGTTCCAGTGTCTCCACAGCCCTTCCAACAAGATGGGTTATTTTTAAATTTGCTCAAAAATAGTTTATTCGGAGTTAAATACCATCTCGCATATATTTTAAAAGACTGTAGCCTAATCTCCAAGTTATGTGAAATAAATGGGTACAATTTCCATAAAGACTTCCAATCTTGTTTGGGTATTGTTGTTGCACAATCTCTATCCCACGCTTTTTGTATCGAGGTTTTTTTGTTCCAATTGACTTCAGAGATACTTCTATATATTATAGAAGTAAGGCCTTTCAGTGATTGTTTACCCATATAAAGAAATTTCTCGAAACTGTTTAAAGGTCTATCTAACTCAGAAGTTTTCGATATTTCCATGAACATATTTTGTATTTGGTAATACTGAAACCAAGTCAATTGGACCTTATGTTTTTGTGCCATTTTTTGTAGTGAGATTAGTTTTCCATTGTCTAATAGGTCTCTTAACCTATATAATTTTTTCTCTCTCAAAGGTAAAAAATGTTCTAGGGTGATTTCCTGGCTGGAACCACTCTTGTCCCAAAAAGGGAGTCACCGGAGAAACCCCAGGAGCAAGGGCTTTAGTATTGATTAGATATTATCTTTATTCAGTGCACAAGCATGCATATAACATGAGACTAGCAAAAGATAAGAAAACAAATGATATCTATAGCTTGTTCAGCTCTAACGATACAATAGAGGTATTTCATAGTTACCAGGCTGGTGTGCAAATAGTCCAAGGTCTCACCAGGGAACCTTTTTAGTTGTGCTGCGTAGAAATAGTTTTCTAGTATTGGGACTCCCAAACCACCTTCTTTTGTGGGTTTTGTTAGTGTTTGAAAGTTAATCCTTGCCCTTTTTTGGTTCCATAAAAATTTGTGCAGCTCCCGTTTCCAATCCTTAAAATCCTTACTTAATACCTGGATGGGAAGATTTTGAAATAAAAAAATAAATTTCGGAAGTAATATTGATTTAAATAAATCAATTTTTTCTAGCAATGTGAAATTTAATTTAGTCCAATTTGTTAAAGTTTCTCTAAAATCCTTACTTAATGGGTTGTAGTTTGCTTCGTATATTTTAGGTATTTCTACTGGAATTATAATCCCTAGATGTTTCCACGTAGTCTTTACCCATTTAAAAGGGTAGCGTTCAGAAATAGCTTTCCGGTCGTCCTCTGGTATCTTTATAGGGTAAAGTTCTGATTTTTGCATGTTAACTGTAAAACCGGCTATCTTACCCACAAAGTAGAATTGTTGCTCACAAGACTCCACAGCTTAGAGGGAACACAGATCTGGAGTTAAGTACTCTTTTTCTCACAGAGCAACATTCAAGTCCAGCAGCACCTTAAAGACCAACAAAATATTCCAAGGTATAAGCTTTCATGAGTCGAAGATCAATTGTGACCGCTTATACCCTGGAAATGTTTGTTGGTCTTCAAGGTGCCACTCAACTTTAAGCACAAACTAACATGGCACCCTGAAACTGTCACAGACAGAGACAGAGAGACAGAGAGAGACAGAGAGAGACAGAGAGACAGAGAGAGAGAGAGAGACAGAGAGAGAGACAGAGAGAGAGACAGAGAGAGACACAGAGAGAGACACAGAGAGAGACACAGAGAGAGACAGACAGAGACAGACAGAGACAGACAGAGACAGACAGAGACAGACAGAGACAGACAGAGACAGACAGAGACAGAGACAGACAGAGACAGAGAAAGACAGAGACAGAGAGACAGAGACAGAGAGACAGAGACAGAGAGACAGAGACAGAGAGACAGAGACAGAGAGACAGAGATTGAGACCTTCCTACTTGTATCGGACGAAGGGAGTTTTGACTCTGGAAACCTTAAAGCCGGAAAATCTTGTTGGTCTCTAAGATGCTACTGGGCTTGAATCTAGCTGTCAAGGCTAATCGCTTTCAGCAGGCTTTCTCAACAATACGAGGCCCATAAATCCGGGCAAGGAATTTTTATAGTTGCTCGGTGCTGCAGCCCAGTTCAAGCCCAGAGGAACGTATGATGAAGCAATGGCTTGTGCATGTGTGGAAAGAACAGCAGCCATCTCAGTGTGAATTTGGCCCCGCCGTTAAGTGGCTCATTTAAAGTAATTCTTGCCCAGATGGAGGGAACACAGCCAGCTTAGTGTGACTGCATCTACGTGAGACGAGAGAAACATATGTTCAGAGGGAGTCACAGTTCGGATTGCCTTAGTTAGCTTTCCGGGCATTTTGCCCGGTTTCAGCTTCCCAATATGGCTGAGCAGTGTGAGCTTTTGCCCAGCAGCTGTTTGCTTTGAGACAGAGAGAATAGGAAGAGCTACTCAGGCACCTGCTGGGAGAAGACAAAGCAAAGAGAATGGAATGTAATTAAAATTCTGAATATTCCACTGAACCAATGTGATAAAGTTTCAGGAATCTCCCAGAGTGGTTAAGTCAGTACATAAGACGGGATGCTTACTATGATCAACACCTGCGGAACTGACTCCCTGAGCACCACAGAGAATCCTGTATGCGAAATTATACGCATATCCAAGACAGCCCATGTAGCTAGGGGAATTTCATGTGTGCATTACATTACATTACACATTGGATTTCTATACCGCCCCTTTCCGTAGACTCGGGGCGGTTTACATAGTTTGTACAGTTTTGGGGGTTTTTTTAACCTAGGGGCACATAGACAGGGGAGGTGAATTCCTTACCCAGGCACACCCTATTTTCGGCAGGGTCTTCTTTTCTTCTTAGCTTTTTCCACGGCGGTTCTTGCTTGGTGCTGGCGATGTTTTTACTGACACAGGTCTTTCAGGTCTTTGCTAGACGCAGGCACAGGTCTTCCGTTCTTTTTTCTTTTTTTCCCAGCAGCGACCCCTGCTGGTTTTTCCGGCAACGTACGATCTTGCCGCGTCTCAGCTCCCTCCAGTCAGCCAGCCTTTCACCTCATGTCACCGCCGCGCTGTCCTCCGGGGCCGATCACTCCTGCTTGCTGCCTTGCCGCTGCCATCTTTTTCCTTTCAGCCCGCTCCCTAGCCTGCCGCAGTCGCCGCCATCGTGGAACTTCAGCCAAGAGGGAGAAGGGTGGCCCCCCCACTCCTAATGAGTAGGTACCCAATTTATCTAGTTGCTTAAGGCTTTCGAACCGCTGGGTGGGCGGGAGCTGGGACAAGGGCCGAGAGCTCACCCTGGCCGTGGTGGGACTCGAACAGCTGAAGCTGTTCGGTCAGATGGAGTACTGCAGGCATTTACTCCTTGCACCACTGCATTTACTGCTTGCACCACTGTGCAGTGGAGACCCACACACACACACATACACAGTCAAGCTCCAGATATGGGCTCTTGCCTGCCAGGGCCAGGGAGCTGATTTCTTGGTCTTCAGAAAACTATGTAAGGCCTTTTCTTTAGCAATAACAACAAAACCCTAAATACTAGTTTTGATTAGCCTTAGATTTATTATCTATTATTATTAATGGTATAATTCTAACCAACTGATTATAATGTTTTTATTTCTGGTGCTTTACATATTAGTTATTTATTCCTAATCTTAAAACGTTCATCTCTGTTCCTTTAAGTATTAGTTGTTTATTTCTCATTCTCAATTTCGAAATATACATTCCATTTACTAGCCCAAAAGAGCTCTTGATGCAACTTGCCATATAAATATGCTGTCAACTTAAAACCATTAAAAATAGGCTTTAAAAACAAACAAACATCACCCCAGCAACCATTCAAAATAAAACTGAGTCAGTATTGAAAGTAATCAAATGCCTTTAGCCAGTTACCCAAAGGTGAACAGTTCTGCAAGAACAGTACCATTCCTGACCCCTTTATAGACACCTGCCTAACCTTCAAAGGTATGAGCATCCAGAGAAAAGCTTCTCAGGATGAACACAGAAGAGCAGTTATTCCTGCAAAGACATGCATGCTTTCTTAAGGCTTTACATTCAACCCAGGACTGCCTCATCCTGTGCTGCCCACTCTGCCCATTAAGTTCTTCCTCCCAAGCTCAGTTCTCTGTGTCCTCACCTGAAGAGGCGGGGCTAGTGGCAACCACAGACAGGGCTTTTCCAGTGGTGGCACCTCACCTTTGAAATGTCCTCCTCTTTGAGGCTCACCTAGTGCTTAATTTACTGTCCTTTAGGTGCCAAGCCAAAGCATTACTGTTCATCCAGGCTCTTTAACCAAAGGGTTCCTTCACTTTAAGTTGTTTTTATAGTCTTCCTCTATCTTGTTTTATGGATATCATTTTAGGCTACTGGATGTTGTTTTATGCTGTTTTTACACCCCTGACGGGCCTCTTGGCTTATTTTAATATTGGTGGCTTTTATAGTTGTTGTTTTTATGATTTTATCATATTTCCTTCTTAACCTTGTGAGCAGATCTCTGGAGAGCTGGCATTTACATGTTCTAAATAAATCAACCTAGATGTTTGATAGAAATGAAGTCAGTCAGTCAGTGCTTTCTTAAGGATTTACATTCAATCCAGGACTGCCTCATCCTGTGCTGTCCACCCTGCCCATTAAGTTCTTCCTCCCAAGCTCAGTTCTCTGTGTCCTCACCTGAAGAGGCGGGGCTAGTGGCAACCACAGACAGGGCTTTTCCAGTGGTGGCACCTCACCTTTGAAATGTCCTCCTCTTTGAGGCTCACCTAGTGCTTAATTTACTGTCCTTTAGGTGCCAAGCCAAAGCATTACTGTTCACCCAGGCTCTTTAACCAAAGGATTCCTTCGCTTTAAGTTGTTTTTATAGTCTTCCTCTATCCTGTTTTATGGATATCATTTTAGGCTACTGGAAGTTGTTTTATGCTGTTTTTACACCCCTGACGGGCCTCTTGGCTTATTTTAATATTGGTGGCTTTTATAGTTGTTGTTTTTATGATTTTATCATATTTCCTTCTTAACCTTGTGAGCAGATCTCTGGAGAGCTGGCATTTACATGTTCTAAATAAATCAACCTAGATGTTTGATAGAAATGAAGTCAGTCAGTCAGTCCTTTCCACAATGATACTGAATGAATTTGAATAGAATTTGGGTATGCACTTAAGTAGTATGAACCTAAACAGCATGATAAAAAGTCCCACATTCTCTTTTGACGTTCAGATGCTACACCCCACCCAATGGGACTCCCTGCCAAGAACGGTGCTCACATATAACAGCTCACCTCTCGATACATCTCTGTCCCAACGCTCTTGAGCTTCGCAGGAGCCGAGGGCCTCATGGCGTCCATGGCAACTCCAGTGAGTCCGGCTTTCTTCTTTTTCTCCAGAGCCACATACAGCTGGTACACCAGCTTGGTGGCAGCCCCACGCTGCTCGGTCATGATGTTTCGGGCCACGTTTTGATCAAACTGCACGCCCAGGAGTTGCAGGGTGGGCTCCATGCGAGAGAAGTTGTTGAGTTTTGCATTAGCAACCCTGTTAAGTTTACACAACAGACGAGGTCATTGCACAAGGCTTTCTAATTGTCTGAAAAAGGGAAGGCCTTTTCAGACACTTAACCTGGAAAGCTCATCATTCTACAATAAACATAAGCCACGGCAGGTAACAGAGCTGAAGCCGAATTGGCATCCGGTGCAGATCAGAACCTTTGCAGTCTAAAGCGACTTCCCAGATGAACAAATAAAACTGATGCACTTCAGTTCAGTTTATTGTTATGGTCCTTAGACCAGTCAAAACTGATGTACTGAATTACACTATTGGCCTACCCAGGGGTCATTTCGTAGAAAAAGAGGTGCAGGGGCTCATTAGCATAACTTATTAGCATATCTTATTTGCATATGCCACACTCCCTGACATCACCGGAAGTGTGTCAGAAGGCAACACCCACCACTCAGGCTCCACTGGACTGTTTTGGATTGCTAGCTATGGGGGGGGGTAATATGCAGATCTTCCCTCACAGAGGAGGAAGAGCTTGTACCTGAAGGTGGGCCGGGGGGGGGGGCTCTGCAACTTACCTGGCTGCTTCTTGCTCCTCGTGGCCCAACTGAGGGCTGCTGGGAGCAGGGAGCAGGGCTTGTTGCATGTGCCCGCCCCCTGGGCTCCTTACTGCCGGATCTCTGCTCCTGTGTGCTCCCACAGGAAATGACCCCTGGGCCTACCAACCCCCAGAATCCATGACATCAGACTGAGGTCTTTCACAGCACTGTTAAAAAAGCTGCTCTATTAACTAGAGATGCTCGGTATCAAACCACAGAGCTGTTACATGCAAGGCACATAGCTTTTGTGCTAAAAGCAGCACTTGTCTCTTAACAGGAGGCTAGTTGTTTGACACATGTGACTCCTCTTCTGGGGCAGCTGCCCTGGATTCTGATTATTTCCAGTCCCAACTGCGGCAATCCTCAGACTGCCACCTACTGGCTAATGGTTGTTCCCCCACTTTAAGTATCCTTTCCTGGAGCCAGGGTGATGTAGTGGTTAAGAGCAGCAGACTCGAATCTGCAGAACCAGGGTTGATTCCCCACTCCTCCTCCACATGAAGTCTGCTGGGTGACCTTGGTCCAGTTCTCTCAGAGGTCTCGCAGCACCACCTGCCTCACAAGGTGTCCGGTGTGGGGAGAGGAAGGGAAGGTGATTATAAGCCGCCTTGAGACGACTTTGGATAGGAGAAAAGCGGGTCTAAAAACCAAATCTTCTTCATCATCATCCAGAGTCTATGCTTTTTCTATTGTAGCCCCCAGCCTGCAGAACAGGCTCTCTTAGGAGGTAAAACTGATGAAAGGCCATTTTATTTGGCATGGCTTTTAATAGGATACAGAATCTGGGCAATTTGGGCCAGGGGATGTTTGTGGCTTTATTTTGTATGTTTGGTGTAGTGGTTAAGTCCACGGACTCTAATCCGGAAGAACCGGGTTTGATTCCCCACTCCTCCACTCACAGCTGCTGGATGACCTTGGGCAAGCCATAGTTCTGACAAGAGCTGTCCTTGAAAGGGCAGTTTCTGTCAAGAACTCTCTCAGCCCCACCTACTTCACAGGTTGACTGTTGTGTGGAGGGGAAGGAGTTTGTAAGCCGCGCCCCACCTACCTCACAGGGTGACTGTTGTGTGGAGGGGGAGGAGTTTAATAAATTAAATAAATTAATAGTTTAAATAAATTAATAACCCATTCTTCTGCCCTCATAAGGGCCACTATGGTGGCTAACAAATTAAAGTGTACATAATAAAAACCACACTTCGAAAAACCATTAAACCCAGCATCAACTGCACTCTGCCCAGCAGTTCCTACAAAATATGCCATCATATAAGATCAGCTGCAGGCTGGACCACCGGCATTCTCATCATGTTAGAATGAGACCCCAGAGGAAGTCAAGTGGGCACTGCTAGAATTTAGGAGGCAATGTAGGATGGAGCTTTTTAAACAGGCATATGATATGTAGGGGCAACATCAGTTATGATTTTGTGTCTGTGGACAGGCATGACTGACTTATTTGTAGAAGTCGGTATGGAATTGGAAGTGTGAACCACCTCAGATCCTGTAAAACTGAAAACGTAGCATATACACTTTAAAACAAAGAAAGGTGCTTTGCCACTGAGCTATAATCATCCTGATCCGGGAACTTCTGATTTCAATCATCTCTCTTTCCAAGTTACCATGTTACATCCCTCTGCACATATATGATGGATCTTCTAGGTGACACATGCACAATGTGTTTGGGCACATGTCATTGTTGTGCAGATGGCATAACTCACCCCCACTTTCTAGCAATAGGTTTTAAGGCGCTGAGGATAGTTAGCAGCAGCAACCTCCATTAACCAGCAGCGCTCCATCTTACAGGAATTGCAGCATGGGTGGTAATATTGCGATTTGCACAAACTAAAGTCAATGGAATCTCAGTGTAACACCTGTCAATGATCTGATGCCCGGAAATGCTGCATTAGAGCTACCTTTAAACTACTAACCTGCTTTGCGAAAACTGGTCAAAGTCATCCTGAAGTTCATACTTGTGTAGAAGTTCTCCAATGAGGTATCCAGAGGCAAACTCTCTAGGAAAAGATTCTTGATCTGGTTGAATGAAAAGAGAGAGAGAGAGCTGTCTTTGCCATTGACTTTTCGATTATTCTATGAAGAAATATCAATCAGGGCTTACTTGGCTTTGCCAGACTCATCAGCAGTTTGTTCAAATCTAAGGGCTGATTGGTACGTTATCACTGAGGCAAACCACACTTCGAAAAAACCATTAAACCCAGCATCAACTGCGCTCTGCCCGGCAGTTCCTACAAAATATGCCATCATATAAGATCAGCTGCAAGCTGGACCACCGGCATTCTCAGTAAGCTCCGTCATCGTGTTAGAATGAGCCCCCAGAGGAAGTCAAGTGGTCACTGCTAGAATTTAGGAGGCAATGCAGGATGGAGCTGTTATGATCTTGTGTCTGTGGACAGGCATGACTGACTTATTTGTAGATGTCGGCAGAGGTCGATTCGGGGGGGATCGCAGGGGATCGCAGTTCCCCCGAGTGAGGTGCGGGGGACGGGGCACACGACAAAGCCCCGCCCTCTGCTTCCGGCCTCCCCGCTTCCAGCCCTCATTCAGCCAGGAGGAGGCAGGAGAAGAGGGAGGATAAGTTGCTTCCTCCCCGCCTCTCCCCACCCCTGCCTGCCTGGGGCCAGGGAGGGCCTTGGCGGGGCTTCCTCGCAC